GCGTCTCCCCCTCCTCCCGGTCTCGGTGCTGCCTCAGCTCCCTGGTTGCGGGGCTTCTGTGCAGCCGGATCTCAGGAGGCTCTGAGGGACGGTGGTTCTGTATTTTAGTTGTGATTTTGATGCAGTTGTGGGAGGCGGCGGGGGCAGCTCTGACCTACACCACCATCTTGTTTCCTATATCTACATTGAAGTTTTGATAAGTAATTTGCCAACCCTCAGTTAGCAGGTGCGTTAACTGAGGCACAGAGAAGTTAAGCAAACTTGTCCAAGGCCACCCAGCTGATAAGTGACCCAGCTGAACTCTGAACGAAAGCAGTCTGGCTCCGGACTCTAACCACTGACCTATACACCACTCAGGGATCATGGCAGAAATTTGAACTTGAGCAGACTGACTCCAGGAGCTATGCTATTCATTATTCTGCTCTTCTGCCTGGCAATCAGATCAACTGACATTTAGCTAAGGAGTGCACAGACATCATTCTCATTCTGCACATTAACAAGAAGGGAAGCAGTGAATAAGTGGCAAGTTCAAATACAGGGCAGAGCAAAAGTAGTTTTACAGTTGTTCATATGGAAAATAATATAATAATTAATGAATAATAATACAAGAATAAACCATATTTCAGGTACTCACAACTGTAAACCTACTTTTGCACTGCCCTGTATTATATTCTCTCTTTAAACAGCTAATACTCACCTCCAAATCACCTAACTCCATCTCTGTCTGCTGCCAATGCGTTTTGCAAATATTTCTCAACAAGCACTCACTAGAATATATTCTGTTGTGTAAGGACAGGGAGGTCTGCAAGTTCTTCAAGGCCAGGGACTGCCCATCCCGGGCTTGGCACACAGGAGGCCCTAACGCTTACTTTATGAGCGACTAATGTCTCCTCACGCAGGCTGCTGCACACCTACCCCAGGAGTACTCACCCTGTTTAATGCCAATCTTGCCCACTGACGTGTGACCACAAGGGCAGGAGCTATCTCTTCCTAGCACAGTGTCTGGCACACAGGAGACCAACTTTATATATTTGTTGAATGAATAAATATCAGATGCTTAAAAACCCAGGAGGACATAAGTTTATAAAGAGAAGTTCCATGCTTACCTCAATAACGCATATTTGGGGCTCCTCCTTATGACCGTCCACAGATACCATGGCTTGATTCATAACCCACTCCTGGACAGCATCAGTAATGTGAGGGACAACTGCAGAAAGAAGTAATTAGCATAAAAGATTATTTTGTGGTCATGAAAAAGGAGTGTATCAGAGTCTTTAGATCTCCCAAATAACCTGACGGCCACCTGGCAAATTAGACAAGCTACAGTCCTAACGCTATCATCGTCCTTCACTGAAATTAATACTACAGGCGCAGTTTAGGTTTAGTCATTTAAATTTTATGCCTTTTCTCTTAAAACCAACCAACCCCAGAGAAAAAGAAACAGAAAGCTGAAATGCAATCTTCGAAGCAATGAGAAAACACCTATACTGCCAATGAAAAACTGTGCAAGCAGGACTGCCTAGGGTGCTGAATGCTAGGCTCCACAGGAAGGAAGGGTGCAGAGTGGCCGGGCCCTGCGGGCCCTGGGCAGTCACCCGCCAGTGGGGAGGGGGCCACTCAAGAGAATATACGCAAGGTCTGCCTGCTGACTAGGGGCCAGCGAATGCTAATGTCAGCTGATGAGGACAAAAGGTGGCATCTCCGCCAGCAAATGAGGCCCAGGAGTCCCTTGAGTGGTGAGCAGGCCTGCAGTTGGCCAGCTCAACTTATGAAACAAAAAACTGACACCCAAGTGGGTGCATGGGGACTCAGCCCAGCCACCTAACCTAATATGATGGCAGGAAGTAGGAAGCTGGCGTGAAGGTGCATCCCTCACCTGCCCGGCTTCATACCTGCGGGGTCTGCAAGGCAAAAGGCAGTCTTTGATTGGTGCATTCGGAAGAACCCACTGGGCATGCCCAGCCCACCCCTTTCTGGAAGGGTGAGGTGGCTGGGTTCTGCCTCCATCTTGGCAGGCCAGGAATCAGGGTTCAGGACCCAGGTCTGGGGCCCTGCCCTCTCCTCCATCGTTGGGCCATGGCAGGCATGAGGCAGTGACTTTCCCTCCCCCGGGTCTTCCCAAGACCTACACT